ATGAATGAATGAATGAATGAATGAATGAATGAATGAATGAATGAATGAATGAATGAATGAATGAATGAATGAATGTATGTATGTATGTATGTATGTATGTATGTATTTTTCCTAAAGGTGGTGCTCGGTTTGCCGTCTTGGCTGGTCCTCTAGGGCTGTTGCCTCCCCTTCAGCTGCCAGCCGCGGCTCAAAAGAAGTCGACCGTGAGGGTCATCTCGCCATCCTCCTCGCGGTCGTGGTCATCAGTGGCCGCAGTTGTGTCTTCAGCCTGTGGGGCGTCAGCCTCGTGTGGTATGCCTGCGTGCGGGCTGGGGTTCATGGCCTGTTCAGGCTGCAGCATGGTCTCACGTGTGTGGTGAGCCTGGCGTGTGCCAGATGCTTGTTGATCATAGGCCGTGTCAAAGTGGATCCTTCTGGGAGTGGGTCCTCCTGGGCCAAGGTGCAGGGTTTGAGAATTGCGCTGGTCCTGCTTGCCGGTGCCAGTGTGGTCCTTGGCTGGACGGGCAGAGTTGGCTGCTTGGATATCCCTTGCCTTCTGAGCTTGCTGACGGAAAAGCTCAGGTAGTGGCGGTGAGCCACTGATTGCTGCTCCTTTGCAGCTTTTGCGGATGGCCCCTGTCAGTATGACCCGGTGTTGGCCATCAAGATGCCGCGTAAGTCCGCATTTTTTGCAGCTCACTTTGTCACCTTCCTGCCATAGGTGGTGGCTTGGATGCGCTTCATGGGGCTGATCATATGCTTTGTCCAGACAGGGACTTTGGATGAAGGTGTTGAATGCTGCTTCGTTGACCCTCTTGTGTACACTACAGCCACCTTTGCCACATCGAAGGTAGCCCGCAGTTTCCTCGAACCAATGCTGGTCCAGATGAGGTTCATCCTGCTCTTGCGCTGTTGCTTGGCAAGGAGTTGCTGGATGACTTGAATGCGAGTCATCTTCTTGGGAAGAGCCTTGTGTGGGCTTGGCTGCTCTGTCTGCTGTGCCTCTAGGGTGAGCTGCGGGCAGGCTTGCTGGAGGCGGTCCTCAATGGTCTGGACAGTTAAAGCCTGATGAATTCTGAGCCCACACACTCCACATTGGTAGCCACTGCGGTGAGTGGTCCATCTGTGCTGTGGAGATGTCCATGGTCGTTGACATTGTGCCACTTACTGCTTCGTGTGCTTGCCTTGGTGTTTTGGAGCTTTCTGATGGATATAGTGGTCCTTATTGGCAAAGATCTTCGAGAGTCTTTCTGCAGCATGTTGGTAGATGACCTTGTGATCTGCATCCAAGATCTCCTGCCATTCTGTTTGTCTCTCTTGTCGTGGAGGGCATTGGCTCGCTCCCATGCCACCAATGCTGCATCTCTCTGCCTTCTTCGTAGCTGTGGTTCATTTCCTTGTGCTTCGGGCGTTTTGGTGTTTCGGCTCACGTAGAGGACTGTGACTCGGGCCAGGTCCTCCTCGGTGATCTGCTCCAGGATATCTTGGAAAGGGGCTTGCTTGCGCTGGTGTGTCCAGATTTCCCAGACCGAGGCCAATTGAACAATGACACGCACCTTGGGCGGTAGTGTGCTTGGCTAATGCCACCAGTCCTGCAAGGAGAGACCTGGTCTTGGTGCGTGGCGGTCCGGGAATGCCAGCGATTGCTCCAAGTCCCTGCAATTGACCCAAGGTCATGTGGTGAACACACAGGCCAAACTATGCCCAGCCTTGGTATTGGTGAGGAACCAGGGCTTGCAGGGCCCATGTCCCACATAGGGATGCGGGAGAGTGCACTGTTCTTGTGGTTCTAATGGAATCCAGCCATGACTCCACAAAGATGGTGGAGTATCCTCTCCGCCCACTCCGGTGGCATTGGTTTGTGCTGCTGTTGATGGTGCCATTTGCGCAACCAAATGATGTGCTTTGGGGTGGCCGGTACCTGGCAGATGGGGCATTGTTTGGGCTGTCCGCCCTCCTTGTAGAGGTCTCTGTAGGCTGCTACTGCTTGCTGGGCCACTTGCAAAGGAGTGTCAGCCTTGAGATCGAATACCACATCATCAACCCAGCTTGAGAGATGAGCCTGTGGACGCTGCTCCTTCCAGGGAACCAGCGGCGCAAGCACCACTTTTGCAAGCATGGGTGGCCGGCCGGGATGCCATGGTCCGCATGGAAAAATGGCGTCATCTCCTGCTCAGCCAGAATGGCCGTGGGTCCGCAGTACAGCTGCATGGCAAGTTCGAGTAGAAGAACCGGGTAGCCAAGTTTGACCGCCTCCTCTTGCAGGCGACTGAGATGGATGGTGTCGTAGAAGGTTGACATATCCATCAAGAGCGTGACTCCATGTTTCTGGCGAGCCTCGTAGGAGGATGGTGTGGCATCCAGCGTGAAGGCCCATCCACTATGCTGTTGGAGTGGAACAATTGGCAATCCGGCCCAGCACCCATGCCCTTGGTAGGGATGTGGTTGTGTACGTGCTTCTTGTGGTTCAAGGAATCCAGCCATGGGCCCACAACGGTTCTTCATCCTGGCTAGTCAGCCGGTTCATCCACTCAGGCGGCATTGGTTCATGTTGCTGGGCGCGGCGCCAACGACATAGCCACAGTATGCGCTGGTACATGGCAGAGGGGGCAGCTTTTGACTGGTGTGCATCTCGGAACTGGAGTGCTGCCTGTACCCATGTGTCCAGGTGATGCTTGTGCTGGGGCTTCAATTGCCTCCGCACTTGTCGATATGTGTCGAGGCCGGTGAGGAGGTCCTGATAGTGGGGCTTGCTGGCCAATCGTGAGATCCTTTGCCATTGGGCTTCCTGGGTTAGTGCCCGTTCAAGCTGCCACCATGGTTGTTGGAGGTGCAGCTCATTTGCCAGGAGCAGCTTGGATTCAGGTCTCATCCAATGCATGAGTTCGGTTGGTTGCCAGCCCCATTCTTGGAGGTAGACAATGGTGGCTGCCAGTGGTCCACGGAAACTGTACCAAGGGTATTGCTTGGCTTGAAGTTGTTGAAATGTTTGCTGCCACGCTTGTTCAAGGGCTGGGAGTTGATCTTTGTGGCCAGGCCTGGATGAGGTGGTGAATGGCCTTGATGTGATGGATGAGGATCTGGTCACTGGGATCTATGTATCGTTTGCTGTGGATATCATAGGTGATATCAAGCAAGCCTCCCGCGCGGTGGCCGAGGTGCTTCGCCATGGCTTGGCGTAAGGCCGCTCTGTACCTGGGAGCAAGTCCTTGGCTTTCGACTCCCCAAAGGGCGACGGGCTGTATTCCTCCTCGGTGGAGCCTGAGTCTCACTTTGAGTGCTGGAATCTTCAGGCTTCTGAGCTTGACCACGCGCTGCTTCATGACTGGAATTCTTCGTCTCCTCGCAGCTTGGTGATCTATGCCCAGGTCTGACCGTTTCAACAGGAGGCTCATGTTCTTGGAGGAGTGCTGGCTATGAAGGCTGTTTTCTTTGGCTGCAGTCCCAACTCGAGCAGGTCCCTGTAGGCGGCAACTGAGTCTTTGGCTGCTTGCAGACGGGTAGCACTGGCGGTGTCAAATCCCACATCGTCTACCCAGCTGGAAAGGTAGATGGTTGGATGGGATTCCTGCCAGGGTTGTAGTGCAGGTGCCAGCACCGCTTTGGCAAGCAACGGTGCTTGAGGGCATCCAGCCGGGACACCATTTGTCACCTTGAAGAAGGGTGTCATTTCTTGCTCTGCCACAATGGCCTTGGGGCCAGTATAGACTTGCATGGCCATTTCTAGCAGCAGTGGAGGATACTGCAAGCGGAGTGCTTCAGTTTGGAGCCTTGTCAGGTTGATGGTGTCGTAGAAGGTGGACATGTCCATGAGGCAAGTGACTCCATGTCTGCCATTGGCTCTGTGTACTTCTTGTCGTAAAAGTCGTGCAAGTGCCACATACAGGACTTGTGCTCCTGGCCTTGCTCGATCGTGGCTCATGCTGGCAGGCAACTGCTTCTGCCATTCATCTAGTAACGGCTTGCGGAGTCGACACCAAACTCTGTAGAGGATCGACGTCAAGGTGATGGGTCTTTCTTTGCTGCTGTTTTTTGGGAGCATGACAACCATATGCATTTGCTGTTGTGTGGGTTGCTGCACCAGTGCCTCCATCTCTTGATACACCTTGAGCAATGCCTTGACAGCCAGTGGTGGTGCAGTACGGAGTAGCTGCGCTGTGACTGCATCTGGTCCGCAGGCCTTGTCGGGCAGGTGCTTGAGCACCCATGCCCAATGGTGAGTGGCTCTGGCTGCTGCAATTGTTGTTTGGCCTGCAGGCTCGGTCGTTCATGTGGCTGGTCATCTTGTCTGATGATCCAGAGGTGTCCCCAGTCTTGTAACCTTTTGGTCATCCGTTCATCTGGTGGCAGATTTCGGTATGGTCGTTCCCAGGCTAGCTCACTACTTCGAAGGCTGCGGAAGAGCCCTTTGAGCCCTTTGGCCTGGGCTTGCTGCAACCATTCTTTGTATTGGAGGTGACTTTCATCATTGGCGGCGTGTTGGGCTTTTTGAAGTTGGTGCCCAATGGTGTGGTGGACCAAATCTGCAGCATGGCCACCCCTGTATGGTGACAAGTGTCAAGAAATTGTCCCCATGTTGGTGGGCCAACCCAATGTTTGGGTGCATCATGGATGGCCTGCATGAAACCCATTGTAGGGCCTTTCGCTTGCTGCGGTGGTTGCTTGAGGGCTAGCTGGAAGCGGATCTTGAGCTGTTCCCCGTAAGCAAACCACCTCGTTTCCAAGTGGTCACCGTGGTGCTTGGTGCCAGCGGCTTGAAGATCGCCTTGAGGCTTGCTCCCCGGCCTTGGGCTGCCCAGGGATGCTCTTGGAGGAGATACTGCTCTGTACACGACACCCAAGTACTGGATCTGCCTGTACTCTTTGGTGGCTTCTTCAATGTTGAAGTGGTAGTTGAGAAGTGCATGTGGCCTCCATGGGATTGCCCAGTCAGTCGTGAGGGCTGTGGTGCCGGCCAGCTGACTATGGATGAGGGCATAGTCAATCACATTGCCCGAGAGGATGCTGTGGTCCGGTGCAAGCACTTCAAAGTGAAATTTGGATGGCAATACCGTGCTGGTGATACTGCCTGGGCTGTTTTGCCAATCCCCAAGGAGCACAAAGGGGTGGTTGGTGGCTTGTATGAGAGCAAGTAGACGGGCCAGGATGGTGGCGTTTGTGTCACTCTGCAAGGTTTCACCAGTTTTCATGTAGATGCCAGCTACAAGGATGGTGCATTCCGTCGCCTGCCAGAGGAAAGCTTGGAATCCACAGCCTTGGTTGGTGAAGGATTCTAATGGCGTGAGTCCGCAGGAGGGATCTCCGAGCACAAGGATGCCACCGTGTGTCCCTGTGTTGCTCTCATTGGTCACGGCCGGTGTTCCAAAGGCTGTCCTGCCCCTGATGGTGAAGTATTGGCAGGTCTGCTGGTGCTGTTGTGGATCTAGATGAGTTTCCACAAGGATGTACACTTCACTTTGCCGAGACCAATACCAATCAAGCACTTGTTTGCCAAAATGGGTGACATTGGCAAAATGGAGCTGGTTGTGTTGTTGTTCTAATCGTGGTCGTTTCTCTGGGCTTGGATGGAGGGGAGGATCAAAATCTGGGGCCCTCCGGGGGGCGGCAATGAGTGTAGTACTTGTTGCGTCGTTCTGAAAGTGTCGATGTGTACCGCCCAGACTTGTGTGACCTGACTGGCCAATTGGGGTGTCAGGTGTTCCAGGTGTATGGGCGGCTTGCCATCATCAGCAATCCACATCAGGTCACGGTAGATGAGGATTGCGAAGTAATGCCCCGTGTTGTGGCTTGGCCCTCTGTGGCAGATCAAGGCTACTGGTACAAACTCTGAGGATGTACGTGCAAATCCATCCAAGGATCTCGGCACAGTGAAGGTGCCATGCATGTATGAATGAATGTTTGTATGTATGTATGTATGCATGCTTGGGTACTTGGAGGAAATCTGAAAATAGCTGTGGCGGCGGGCTCCACCAAAACTTGGATTCGGCTGAGGCATGCACTGGTATGGCTGGAGTCACCTCAGCAAGATCATACAGCACCATTGTCACCGCACCCTGACGCGTGATCACTGCGGCCCGGACAGTCTGGGAAGCAGGGCCATTCATTGGAAGCTCCTCACAAGGAAGGCCACAGCATCGCTTGTCACCAGAACACATGGCTCAAAATTCATCTCAGCATACCACCAAAAATCACCGTTGACGCTGGCCAAGGAGGCATGTTTGTCAACATTGTTGGTGTGTCTGTGTGTGTGTGTGCGCGTGCTGCAGGATCTCCAGCAGCTGCACAGGCACTTCACGGGATGGTGAGGGAGGTCCATCCTTGGCGACCAGAAATTCACTTGGCAAAAGTCCATTCTTGTTACTAGTAACAGTAGTAACAAGTGCATCGCTAGTAGTGACAAGTGCATTACTACTAGTGGCAAATAGCTACTATAGTGGCTTCTTGTTGCTAGTAGCGATGCACTTGCTACTAGTATGCATGCAAATCCCCATGGAAAAATTGCAGTACATTATAGATCATTATAGTACATTCTATCTGCCAATGTTCGGCTGCCGCACCCTTTCAATTCTTGAACATCTACCAGTACCTGCACCCATCTCACCAGCAAGTCCCGGACAGTCTCCTGAATGGCCATGCCTTCGGTTGTGAAATCGCTGCCTGGCGAAAGGATTCTTCCAAACACCCAGCTTTGAAGCCTGCGCAGCCATGTACTTTACGGTATTCCAAAACCGCTTTGCAAAGAAGAAGACGAATGCGCCGTTTGAATGAGCTGCTTGCAGGGAAGAATGAAGCGTGACAAAGGCCCATGAATGCTCTGACATGTGTTGCTCTCGGCCGTAGCGCATCCTGACACATTGTTTCCGTATACACGTTGTCACATACAATATGCATTTGCCTTTTTCTTGCAGAGATTTGCAGAGTACACATTGGTGGCTTGGTGTGGCACAAGCACAATACTGTGCTTCAATCAGCTGGCCATTTGCTGTTAGTTCCTGGCCTATCTCCACTTCTGGAAGCAAATCTCTGAGTTGTGTCATGAAGGCCTTGCCTGGGCTCCGCTCGGAATGGACTTCGGGAAGTCATGGCTCCCTGCATGTGCATAGGCCAATCGGGCTGTTGAAGCTAGGCTGCGATTTGGCCGTCCAACATCGGCTACAAGAACAGCCTCAACGAAGCAGCGAACCAGAACCCTCAGCGCATCAAGACACGTGAGTGCCCCCACCCCTCGACCCGGGACCCAGCCATCGTCCGAGCGCCCTGCGCTTCCACGTCGAACCGCTTCGGCCACACGATGTGCCATTCCATCTGCTGTGCCCTTCTCGTACAAAACCTCGCCAGCGCAAGGTTTTAAAACAACATGCCTATGACTGAGCCGCTGCAAAGCTTGAAACTGTCAAGGTTAGGTTGCTTGGCAGGCAATGCCCCACTCAAGGCACCCTGAAAAGACGTAGCGAACTTTCTTTATACTCCACGTGTACTCCATGTGGCTGATGCTCCTGAAGCCCAGCTCGGCACTGCAGCACACCCATTAGCTTGCGTGAGCACCGTGTGGCGCACGGGACGCACGCCGGAGTGGTGACACGAACTTGCGTCAAGTCACAAATAACCAAGCATGCCTAACGGCGTACAAATAGGTTGAGGTATGTTGATTCTTGAGGCATAGAACAGCTGACTGGCTCAACTACTAGCATCTTGAATCACACAACAGCTGCACAACATCCGCACATGTCATGGTCGAATTACATTGGAGGCTTCTTGCCCCACATATCTACCTGCAACATCACGCCCTCGAACTCAGAGCCATTCAGGGCAGCCGCTGCAGTCATCGCCTCTGAGTTGCTTTTGAAGGCAGCCCCTCCGCTGCCACTTTTGCCAATCTCGGCATAGAGGCAAGTGACACCAGCTGTGGACATGTGCTCCTTGAGTTTCATGTTGATCTCTTTGCTCATTTGATTGGCGGGCAGACCTCCAACCCAAACCTTCCTGTCATTGGCAAAGTTGCGAAGCCCGGTGGTCTGCTTGCCCATGCCCTTCATCATCATCGCCATCATGGGGTTGAACATGGGCTGCCAAACGCCAGCACCACCCCAATTGCTGCCAGGTCCTCCGCCCTTGCCACATCCACCTCCGTAGCCTTTGCCACTGCAGCCTTTGTCAAAGCCTTTGCCTCCAAAGCCCTTTCCTCCTCCTCCGCCCCAGCCACCACCACCCCAGCCTCCATCGCCACCAGCTCCCCAATCCTTTCCACAGCCGCCCCAGCCCATCTTCGTCGAAGGAGTTGATAGAGGAGACAAAGAGTTGTTTGACCCTCGTCTTTGGGCAATGAAACAGCTGAGCCAAAGAACAAGGATGAGTATGGTTTCAATCGAGACGATGCGTGGGCTGAGCAGCAAACATCCTCAATCATCCTCAAAGGTCAAAACCAACTACGTACAGTAAGTGAACATTGCACCAAATTGGTAAAGTGTTGTTGTCAATTGGGACTTCTCTGGGACTGGCTCAGAACTATTGACATGGATTTTAGATTGGCAAGGACTGTGCCAAGGCACCCAAAACACAACTCGTTGGGCCCCTGCATCTGACGCCACCACCAGCTCTGCTGGCGGTAGCGGCACAGAGAGCTCGCTGATGTCTAGCTGAGCCGTACGAATCCGCAAGGCCTGCCACCCAAGCGAAGATGCCAAGTCCCCAACCTCCAAGAACTCTCGGCGTGGATGAGTCTTCAATCAGGCTTCAATCAGGCTTCAGTGGAGCACAGTACCAGCACGTGTTATTTGCTAGATTGCTACATTGCTGCATCCTGTTGCCTTCACTAATCTTGACTGATTCTCTCCACCGGCAAGGCACCTGGCGCCTGGCAGCTGCACGGAGCAGCTGCAAAGGCAGCTGACGAAAGTCAGTTGCCAAGACATCACCGCCCAAACGCGCAGCCTCAAGGCAATGTGATCAAGAAGTGTGCTGGCGAGCTGCAAAATAACTCTCCTTGCGTCAATGCCTATACCACTCTACAACCACCATATTGTACTATATATATATATATGTATATGTACGTTTATGCCTCGTGCCCTGCTATGCATTGGCATTCCTAAGCCTGACGTGTTGTCAAAGGGGCTCTGGGCTATGTTGTCAGTGCTTGGCTCAGCTCCATGCCAGCAATGAAGCCAAACCACATCCTGCACCAAGCTCCTGGATCACAACCAAGATCGCAGCCTTTGATATGGTGACATGACCGGAAAGAGTGTTCATATTTTGATAAACCTAATGGCGATGGCCTCCAACCTAATATCCTTTGACACTGGCCTAGGGCCTAGGGCCTAGCAGCCTGCCACTTCTCTACGCATCTGACATCTGACTGCAGAATTCATCAGAATCCTCCCTCTTGATTCTGCCATGTGCAAATGATCATCGTCAAGGGTCTCTCAAAGGTTTTCACCGGCGCACTACAGCGTGGTCGGAGAAAGAAAGTTCGAGAGGCTGTGAGTTGGATAAGCCGAAAGCGGCAGCCATGCAAGTTAATCACAAACAGCCATGCTGCCATGCGCGCTCGTCACTCCAGGATGCGTTGCTGTGGCTTTAGCTTCACGTGAGCTGCCACAGCTTGTGCAAGAACCTCAGCACCACAAGCTGCTCAACAGCGCACCTAACGGGCTGCAAACTAAGCGGGCAGCCAAGGCTGAGGGCCACAATGCTGAGCCATAAGGGTCCAGCCTCGACCAGCCAAACCAATTAGCCTACAATGCTGCTGTGCATCTCAAGCATACAAACTGGCAAACTCCAAGCTGCCAGATGTTGTGACATACTGTATTTGTAACCAAAGGAAGTTTAGTGTGCAAAACTTCCGTGTTACGGACATTCAACAGCTGTTCAACCACCACTCATCATACACCACTCATCATACACCACTCATCA